AATAAACAGACAAAGGAATCAAACTGTTCAGCCCCTGTGACATGTTCCATTTGGATTTATAATTACAGTAAGATTCAAATAATACAATATTTAAATGTGTGCCAATATTTCTACTCCACCTCAGAAGTTTTCAACTTGTACATAGCTCAGAGTAATGAGTTGGGCAGCTTTATAAATGTGATTTATAAAGCAATAAATGCCTGCTTAGATTTTTATACATTCATGCACATACAAACACAGTGACTATATGTATGGTCTGTTTAATCTCTGTAGAGAAAAATCCACTTGCCTTTTATGGTTATTAGAGTTGAAAAGAATTCCAGCAGCCACATTGTACAGGTTTTCTCTTCCTTGCTTAATCCCCATGAAATAAAATAGAAACTGTAATTTTTTTTGTGCTACATCTAAACACCAAGCAAGATCTGATGTGCATTTAATGTGTGTATTTAAAAACCCTATGTTAACTCAACAACAAAGTTATTATTGTTCAGATTCTGGGGGAGAGTGGTTTACCTCTATTTTTATTCTTTTGCAATCTTGATGAAAATGCTTCCTCTGCAAAATGTATTTGCTTTGAAAGGAAGCCTGTACTGGGGAATTTTCTCCTAATGAAAATTGTTAAAATTATCTGTTCCTACCCAAGTGACATCATTTTATTTTCTTAAATATGAATATTATATGTAAATATGACTTTAATAATAAGCCTAGTCTGGAACTTTTGCATTTATGGTTAGACTAAGAAAGAACTGCCAAATATTTTGCTTCGACAGTTGGGATGCTCCATGAAATGTTTCTGTAAAATACATTTTAGGATTCAGATGTTCTTGTTTCATAGCCTTTGTTTTATTAATTGCATGAAGTACAGTTTCAGTCAGAAGGAAATTACTAAAATGAAGAGGAGAAACTATTTCTATTCTTTATAATCTGATCCTTCCAGTTAAGAAGAATAATCTTATCCAAGATAATTAAGAAAGGATACTCAAATTCCTACTTTGTGTAAATAGAGCTGTTGCCTGCATTATATCACTGAGACTTCTCAACACATCTGGGGAAAAAAAAAGCAATTCCAATAACATTAAAGCATCCTATTTTCATTGGCACACAGATGCTATAGTATATGCCAGTCAGTAATGGGTTTTGGAAACAAGCTGCTCTAAAATTCTTCTAAACTATTCTTCTGGGAAATTATTCAATTAAATACAACTAAAATTAATGCTTGGCTGCTTTGTTTGAATAAAACAAAATAAGCAGCTGGAAAAGAAAATCCCTCTGTGTGCTCAAGAGCAAAGGCTCCAGTTAATATCAATGGATTATGAGATCCTCTTTCTCCCTTTTAACAACAGCTAATTCGAAATGAAAAGAGGCCAGTTCTAGTTAGAGAAAAATGTGGGTTTCACAGAGACAAAATCAGACTGAAGACCGTTAACAAGAACAAAATAAAGCAGTCTGAATTTGGGGATAGTTTCTTGGATGTGTGATGATCAGGGCCAGTTCAAGGGAATATGGCGCCAGTAGGCCACATTGACTGATGGTTTCACCTTCCACTAAAGCAAAGCTTTTACATTTTAAAAATGATTAATTTAAAATTAAATTAAAATTAAATTAAGCTTGGCAACTAAAGCTTGGTCCACCACCATGCCCCAGCAGAGTTGCCTGGTATAGTCAATTGAAAACTGTTAAGCACAGGTGCCATTGGCATCCCTAAAGTTTGGCACCTTAGGCCAGGGGTAGTCAACCTTGGCTCTTTTATGACTCATGGACTTCAATTCTGGGAGTTGAAGTCCACGAGTCATAAAAGAGCCAAGGTTGACTACCCCTGCCTTAAGCCATTACCTACCCAGCTTTAGCCTAAAAGTGGCCCTGCTGGTAATAGACAGACACACACAGGCATGCGCGTGTACACACACACACACACACTTACACTTCTGCATTTCTATGTGAAGCATACTGCAGCAACTGCTAGAAGTGAGGTAACAAAACACACTGCAGCATAGCAACATTACATAGACTTCCAGCTGTGCAATAGAATGTTGCAGATGATTAGAAGCCATAAAGCTCTCTAACTACTAGGTTATGTTAGGGCTTGTCTTATTAGATCTCCCTCTGCCTCTGTGGCCTAGGCATCAAGAAAAGGCTTGTGGAAGGTTATAACCCATGGGTTACAAAAGGTGTGTGGACTTAAAAGCAGCCTTTGGTAGCAGACTCCACATTTTTGGAATACACTGCCCCCCCCCTAGTATACACAATACTGGTCCTTGGGTCATTTTGCAGAGCACTTAAACTTATTCAGAAGGTTCTTTGTGCACGATGAAGACTTTGAATAATCATTTTGTTTATGTTCTGGTTTTAACTATTGTTAAAAAGTTTGTACATTGGCCAGTCTTAATTTTAACGATTGGGGCAGTTAAAAAAAACCAAACCCATATAAGATTAATATAATAATCTTTATAGTTAAGTGTTTTTAAATATTTGCATACCACTATTGATTTAAAATCTCTTTCTCTTCCTTCCCCCTTCTCCCACTCCCCACTAACAGGACCTTATTTTCAGACAAATGCCCCAGCTTCACTTTTAAAAAATCCTTCAGCTTTTGAGGGCAGATATGAAAGAGAGCTCTCTGCTGCTGCCAGTTGCCAAAACAATGCCTTTCTTAAGATAACTAAAAACAAAAAAAAATCATCTAGAACTAGTTAATCTTGCTCTTGGCAGAGAAGGACATCAAACTGTACCCAAATATCTCAGTTCACCAATGGGCATATTAACTGTCAGCTGTCTCCTATGGTGATGTGTTAAAAGTCCACAGGTAGGGAGCCAATATAGGAGGCAGCTCACAGCAGGCATTTGACTGAAACCAGCTTGCTTTTACATTTCTTTTCTCAAAGCTTTATGCTTCATAAATGCAGCTTGTCCAAAGGCAAGAAGAGCAGGGCCCATTCTTCAGTGCTCTTGCCAAATCCTAATATCTTTTAAACAAGTCCAAAAGTAGCCTGGGAGAAGAGTTGCAGGGCTGAAGCCCTTTTTCCCTTTACTGCTCTCAGGGTTCCTCCCTGTGTGGTTTGAAAGAAGTCTCTAAAGAGGGCACACCTGAGTATTCTGATTCAAAATAAGGTGTAACAAAAAATGTAAACCAAACTAAATCCGCTTGCCTCTCCGGGAGAGAGTAGAGAAGGAGCACTTTACTTCCTGCAGAATGAGAATGTTGTTTTTCATATGTTGAACAGCTTTCTGTTCTCCTTGCACCCTTGGCCCATCTGCCCTGAATTTCTCTGTCTACCAGTCTTCCCACCAGCATGCTAAATTCTTTCCTACTGAATTCATTTGTTAAGAAGAGCGATGGAAAGAAAGTATGTTTCTTTTCTTGGTTTACATTTTGAAGTGCCCCAATGTCTTGACTGGTGTTTCACATTAGCCGCAGAGTTTGGACTCATAAAGATTAGGACTTTCCAAACGTACTCAGTTTGGAAAAGTCAGAGGTTCTCAACCACGAAGGAAACAAAGTAGAATCTGCACGCCAGTCTCTTTTTTTAACTTAGAGTTGCCCATAAATAACACTCCTGCCACTTCAAAGTGCTTTGTGTTGAGCGGGTTGAGTTCTGTAAAAATCCGCAAGAGAACTTCTATCTTGAAACAGGAGAGAGTTTTTGGGAAATAAAGCACTTAAGGAGGTGAAGTATGTGGACAAAAAGACGTGGCTGTTATTAGTTTTATGTGGCACTTGTCAGAAATTCAGAGCATTTCACATGAAACTCATTATTCTTAAAATACTCTGAAATGTAGGCATTATTATCCTCCCCCACTCTCCTCCATTACAGATAGTACATGTGATTGTTATTACCAATACGTTCATAACAATCTTCCTACTAAGGTTGAAATCAGTATGTTGGTTGAAGCACTCCCCAAAGTCATAAAAACCTGTAAAATAATGACCTGCTTGTACAAGTGCCAGTCCATGTCAGAGCTGCTAAGATCAGATATTCCAAGAGCCCGATTAAGAATTGGAGGCCTGGGGATTTTTAGTGGCTAAATTATCATCATATTGTTACCATACTTGCTATGTAATTATCATGTATCCAGTGCTTTTTTTCTATAATAATAAAAAAAAGGTGCCAGAACTCACACCTGTCATACAACCCGCCTTGCCTACCCTACAAGGTTCCATCCAAAAAAGGTGCCGGAACTCCATTCTGGGCGTTCTATGAGAAAAAAAAAAGCCCTGCATGTATGCATCTTCATTTTACAGTGAGGAAGAAACGTACTTGTGTGAAGGAAATAGCAAAGGTTCCCCCTTGAACAATCTTGAGGCCATGCCAGCCTTGACTTCAGATAGAGGAGGGAAATCATGGGAAATAGGAGTGATATGGTAAAGTAGTCAGAAGTTTCCTTAATTTAAATGATAAGTTAAGGGTATTTTCAGCACAGCAAAATTACAACATTAACCTAAACCCTAGACCTTTTTTTCCTCTATTTTATTAATTTTAACTGTAAATTCTTATGAAATGTTACCAAGTACTTTACAGGATCCTAAAAAAAAAGAAGCAGTCTGCTTTATTTGTAACAGCCAAATCCAGTGTGGTATGAGAGATGGGCATTGAAGAACCTTTTATTCCTTCATAAATTTTTAAATTTGTCATGCAGGAAGATGCAAAAAAACAACAGCCCCCCCCCAAAAAAAAACCCTTTTTCTGCTTTCTTCTTACCAAAGAAACTTTGGTTCAGAGTGAAGCCTACCATAATCCAATGCCAAAATATGTTTGCCTCAAGCGGTAGCTGTGTTAAAATGCTTTAATAATTCATTATACTACTTACACATATGGTTCTTTTGATGATTTCAGCATAGATTATACTATATCTTAAATGATTCTCTATCTACTTAATCTACTTCAGAGGATTGCAATGCAAAATCAGAATTACAGAAATATTTGTTTTGATAAAATTCTGTTTGTTTAGAAGTAATAATAGAAAGCTTAGATATTAATATTCAGTCATGTTCCTCTTTCTAGAAATCATTGATGATCTTGCCAATTTGGTAGAAAATACTGATGACAACCTACGCAAGCAAACCAAACATGTTTTGGGGGTGGAGAAAAAGTCAGCCTCCTGTGGTAAGATTTTAAATTTCATTTCTTTTGCTTTATACTGGTTGCTGCTTTATGTGTTCTGAAGCCTGGTTTAAAGCCGTTTAATTTTTTTCTGACAGCCAATACTACTGCATCTCTTTCATATAACCTTGTACTTTCCTTTACAAATAATCTAACAATTATATCCAGGACATTTGAAAATCTTACCCTTTTTAAAAGTGGGAAAGAAGTGTGATAAACCAGTCATAAAAGTATTATCCCAAGTTTGATTAAAGAAAAGGAGTTATTTATCCCCTGGAGGGCATCCTCTACTTTGAGATATGAGGGTAAATTCGGAAATAAACCTCCGTTTGGTTATCAGTGACAGACACTCGCAGATACAGAACTTTTATTACACACATTAGAAAACTACATTACATTACTTTTTGACATAATCGCCATTCAAATTGAGGCACTTGTCATAACGTCTTACAAAGTTTGAAATTCCTTAGTAGTAGCTGTTCGGCGCCAAATCTGGGCTGTGGCGGGGTGTGATCAAAAACACCCCAACGGAACTGCTTCAAAAGTTCCTGGGTGCGTCTAGCGGTGTGCGGACGAGCATTATTGTGAACCAACACCACACTGGAAGTGATGCCATAGAAAATCCCACCAAATGTGGGATGCCAAAGTAGTACTGCTAGTGAAGTTCATGGAGCGTGGTTCAACCATCAATTCAGAAGCCTACTGTGAAACGTAATGAAAACTCAGACGAGCCATCCATAACAAGCATCGGGGCATGCTGACTTCCGGTGTGGTGTTGGTTCACGATAATGCTCGCCCACAGACCGCTAGACTCACTCAAGAACTTTTGAAGCAATTCTGTTGGGATGTTTTTGATCACCCTTCCCATAGCCCAGATTTGGCGCCGTGCGACTACTACTAAGGGATTTCAAACCTTGTAAGACATGAAAAGTGCCTCAATTTGAATGGCAATTATTTGAAAATTAATGTAATGTTGTAGTTTTCTAATGTGTGTAATAAAAGTTCTGTATCTGCGAGTGTTTGTCATTGATAACCAAATGGAGATTTATTTCTGAATTGCCTTCGTAGCGCCACTTCATGGAACTAGTGGGCAAGATCCAATCTTGAATGGGTCTTCCCAGGAGAGGTACCATTGGCCCTGCATAGAGTGCAGGCAGTTGAATTCATCTGAAAGTTCAAAAGCCCAGTTGCTTAGTTTTTTAAAACAAAACACCATTCCATTCTTGTGTTCTCTTCTATACCTCCCTTCCTTCCTTTTGTCTTTTTCTTTTTTAGAAGGTGAGGTTGCACTACATTTGAGCACTACTGTGCCACTGTATCAGCCTGAAAACACAATCTGGAAACCATGGCAAGATATTATCAATCTTTTTTCTTGGTGGGAGAGGAACAGAGTAGCTGATTAGCATGGCAGCTAAGCTACACAAGAAACACTGTGGAGCTATCGTTGAATCCAAAGTACTCAGCTTCTGTAGAAAATCCAGCCAGGTCAGAAATAAATGCCACATTCTAATACAATTCTCTCTCCTTTTATGTAGGGCAGTTAGGGGACTATAGAATAATGTGTCATGAGAGCAGAAGAGGAGATAAATAGTGACAAGGAGGAACTCCAGCCTAGCAAGCAAAAACAGAGCTGAAGATAATCAAATACAAGCCTTGATCTCAAAGAAGCTCAGTTTAGGAAATGGATTGTTAAAGTTTAGTAGATTTCTGGTGCTGTGACTGCTTCTCAGCACATCAGAGCAGATGTAAATATCTCTTCCTCTGCAAAAAAACATAAGAAACTAAAAGAAAAATAGCAATGTTATAAGTGGACAGATTTTCCCCAACACCAAGAAAAAAAGTGACGGTTTACAGCTTCTCCACTGAATATGCATATTTAAGCCCTTCCCCCTCTTGCTATTCCCAGTCCTCTGTGGGGCTTGATATGCTCTACCTCAGAGTTCTTCTTTTAGAGACAAGGTCAAGAGAGATAAAAGCCATAAAACCTCTAAAGGGAAACTATAAAATAGGAGACAGAATTATTTCTTTATGAGATTTCTTCTTGCATCACTCCTTAAATTTAGGTAGTTTAGAGATAGTAATAGAATAGTGATAAATAATGCAATATTATTTAAAATGTAAAAGACACTTTAGAACATTATACTAATGTTACCTCTGGTGAAAGCAGAGTCAATTCTGAAAGGTTTCCCAGAAGAACCAGGTTTTTACCAGCTTCCAGAAGGCCATGAGAATGGGGAACCATTATCATCCTAGTGGGTTTGCCCATTCCATATGTTTCTGTAGGTTTGTCACTCCCTCCACCTAAGTCTCATCATAGGTCTTAACCAATGAGCAGATAACCAAGACAGTTTCCATCCCAGGCCCAATGTCTGAAACCAGAATGCAGAAGATACAGCAATATGTTTTCTCATCCATCATTATATCAAGGTTAGATTTATTACCAACAGATCCGCATGCAAAACCTCAACTTGAGACCAAGATAATCGGCAGTCTGAATAATTGGCTTATGAGTTGAGATTGGGCAGCAAATTCCAGAGTCCACTGGAGTTGGGTGGCCAATAAATTTCAACAAATAAATAAAATTTCCAATTTTTTTTTCTTCTGGAAAGTTTGACTTTCCCTTATCGTTATCTTCTCCATTTCCACCCTTCTCAATTAGCTGACTGTCCTTTCTCAGTCCAACCAAGTGACTCCCTCTTCAGATCCAACTAAGTATAATACAGGATAGTAACCTCACCTACTAGCTATATTCACAACCCCTTCATACATCCTGACCCACCTTATGGATAATAGAACCACTGTCTTCACCCACCTTCCCCACTCACTTCAGCTCCCCTGGCTCTACTCTCTGGATCAGAAGAGGCAGGGTGGAAAACACTTCCCCTGTTCTTTTGCTCATCGCAGCAGCCTTCCTTTTCACTTTTCTGACTCTGACTGTGGGAAATGACAGTCCTCTTTTCTTGTGATTACTTTATGTTTCTACTCCCTCGTCCTCAATTACACATGTTCATATGAACCCAAAGGAAGGGGAATAGGACTAGTACTCTCCTTTCATTTCCTGCCACTAGTTTAATATGTAGCATAGTAGTCTGTTTATTGTGGAATAAACATGGGAACCATATGCTGCCATTTAGTTCCCTGAAATACATGGGAAGTATTATATTATATGCACATCATGAGAGAGATGGGGGATGGATGAGTGCAAGGGCATATAAATTGATGTGATTTTGGCAGATTTTCATATAATACAGCATTAAGGGCAAAGTATGAAAACGCGATGAATGATCTTATTATACTTGAGGTGAAAAAGGTTAGAAGAATATAATTTCTGGAATAATTTTAGCATAAATAGCATAGCCATGATGTAACTAGTAATTTAATACTAAGCCCCATGAAATTCTATGCAATAGAACTTGCAATCTGGAGGTAATGAAGTCTGTCAGTATCTACTCATGAAATTACTGAAGGAGAATGAGCTAATGATATTTTCCTCCTTCATAAAGAGATTTTTTACACTCTCCTGTGAAGACTTCAGAAAAGATTTAAGGACAATGTAGTTTTCTCTGCTATTTTATCTATCTCTCCCCCCCCTCTCTCTAATACACATGCACACAATTCTTCTATTTTGTAAATAATTTATCAGTATGGAAAAAACAAGATGGGCTCATGTCAGATTTTTCCAATTTTTTCTTCTTCCACAAGATGGCAATGCAGTTCCTAACCTTAGGAAATTAAATAACTGAAGCGTCCCTTTTATATTGGTTCTGACTGTTTTGGAGAAAGTAGAATCATCACTTCTATTTTTTTCTCCTTAAACATTTGCTATATCAGCCCATCTCAGAAATATTGATTACTAAAGTACTCAGGGATTTTGCCTGTTTTTTTTTGTTATGTTTAAATATGTAGCAGTCTCATCTAAATCAACAAAGAGTATTATAAAACCTTAAAGCCTGTCAGCTTACAGCTGTAAATTAGATAAGGATATATAAAATGATTGTTGTCTTTTAGATATTTCTCTTTATCCAATTTACTGGTAATTTTTACTTTCTGTTTCTCTCCCTAAGTTTTTTGAATAGACTGCTTCAGGTCTGCAGATGTTTTCATAAGATATAAACTTTGTATGTTCCAATTTCTAATATAGCCAAGAGTTTAGTTAACATGACATGAAGTCAACTTTTCCTATGGTCTGTTTGCTGGATGATTATGTCAATATTCCATCAAAAAACTGCATGGACAATTGCCTTGGCTTGGAACCAAAAGATGTTTTTCCCCAAAGCATTTTTTTTCCTGGCATATGAGTTGTGACAGTTTTTCCTCTTTGAATCTTGTTATGTTTCCAGAGTTAAATATGTTGCATAGTTTTCCATAGAGGTGCTACCATTTTGCTGGTAATGCAAGCATTTTTGATTTCATTATCACTTTTCTTGAAAATATATTTTGTGTGCATACACATCATGTGTTATATAGAAATTGTGGACCAGATTGAGAAAAGATGCATAAATATTTATTGTTTCCTGTTATAAAAAGGGAGATATTTTAATTACTGAAACACCAACGTTGCGGTGTGCTGAAGCCAAATTAGAACCAATGTATTTACAATTGTGTACGCTTTTAACCATGTTTTGCTGCCACTAGAACCTCTCTTGAAATCCAAAAACTCTTTTTTCCCCATTGAAACCTGAATACTATGGGCAGAATCTGAATTTGGATTTTGCCCTCAAATAATTAAGTCCATTGTTTGGCAAAACTACCCAAACTATCGTTGCTTCTGCAGATCTGCAAGTGTTACATCTTCTATGCATCTATTGTATTTGTAAAAGTTAATTCTTACATGGTCAGAAGGAAACTGCCTGATACTAGATCTATCTATTAACAAAATATGAGATAAATAGAAACTGGGCCTCCTGCTCCAAAGAGTTGGGTGTCTAGTATCATGAAGGTTATCAGGTGTGCTATTTGTCCTTTTTTGAGGCATGGCAAGGGAAATGCGGTAGAGGAAGCAG